CCGATAAATCCCACGTTCATGTCCACGACTGAGACTCTCTTCTCCTTTCTGGACGCGGAAAGTCGGCCGATCGAGAAAGTTCCATGATGATGAGAGATTGAAAATATTTCGGCATGAAACTGGGATTTCGTAACGGGTGCCACGTACTACCGATTTTACGAGCCTGTTTATCGTCGCCTTTACGGTTCCCGATATCTCAAGGCAACCGGGTTTTATCGATCACTTTAAATTCGTGCGTATTTATGATCCACTTGTCTTACGTGAGATGTTCATTTAACACTTATACGTCGTCTCGTTAAATTTTTCAAGCATTCGATTGAGAGATGAGACTCGTCCAACTGAGATTATATTACATATACTTGCGTTAAGTATATATAGTTTATTTTCCTGCGAACATTTTTCGATGGCTCGGAAGCAAAGTAACCCCGATCCGAGTAAACCAGAACGGCGAGTCTGAATATATCCGGAGCGATTAAATGTTCAGAGATGAACGCGAGCGAAGCTAATTAGCGGCTTCCGAGGCCGGGCAGCGTGTACCGTAAAAGGCAGGACACGACGCGGACCGGGTATAGAAAGGTGGGCCGAAAGAGTCAGAAAAAGTGGCCAGATTCTTCTCTGTAAAAATGATTCCGTGCAAAAGCGGCGTCGTTCCGGCGAGAATCGCATAACTTTGCCTCTCGAATTCAACGGAATTCGCGTTCTATCTCGAATCGCTCGATAAAATTCGAGATAAACATAATTCGATTGGATTTAACCGGTGGATACGACCAACTGGAATCGTACAAAATCGAAGAGGACTAAACTAATTGTAAGCTCGATAAGAGCCGGACAAACACAAAGGGACTGAAAGATTTTAAAAAATACCTCCAAAGTTTTAAGCAAATCCAGCAGATCAACTATACAAATATGTGAAACATGAATATCTTTTTCTGGCTTTGAAAGAAGCCGACGGAAGAAACTCAAGATGGGAAGAAAGGCGGACGGACGAAACGGATGGTGCTTGCATATGGACCGATCTCGAAGAAGAAACCGCGAGAAGAGCGATGCACCGACAAGTGAAACTGCACCGGTCGCGTTCGAACGTATATGCATCGAAAGAAGAGCGACGAGCTCGTCGAGCGAGAAAACGGGTTGCGGACAAGAGGAACCAAAGGTCTTCAAGTTTTTGCGGCACGCGTACGAAACCCGCGACGCGAAGCGACATTCTTTTTCTCTTCTAACCCTTTTCGTAGCCGGTTCGATGAACGTGAAGAAATCGGCTGAACTTTTAGGGCCATGCTTTTTCGGCACCGGGTAAAACCGTTTATCATCGTCAACTTCTATAGCCAGTATAATTATTTCAACTTAACCCATTCACACCATGGAACTTGACACAATATTTTATATAATAATAATTATTGAAACGTTTCGTATAACAATTGATATAATGTAATACCAGTTTACTATGAATTCTCGTTTTGATTGTATATGGCAGTTTAATACTTCCTATTAAAGTAAAAATGCTCGAAAGGCAAGAAGAGGCAAAATAAATAGAAGACAAAAAACCGAGACACGAGGATAATTTTTATATCCCGGCGTAATCTACCCGGCAATAAACATAACATGGAAGGTAACATCGGAAGACTATAATCTTCTAAAGTAAAACGTTCAAGACCTCCGATAAAAATACCCAGCCAGATTAAGCTTAGATAAGTCGCCCGACTTCCAAGCCTGTATGGCCCACGCGCGAATGGGACACGAAAAAACAGCGAAAGATAGAAAGCCTTCATTTTGACGAACGCGCCGGAGTCGCTTTAACCCTATCCACTTTAGCTGGCGCCGACCACCAACAAGAGTCGCCTTTCTTTTTAAAATAAATCCTCGGGTAACGAGCAGCATCCTCTTCTGCCGCCGAAGATAATTCCAGGCTTCTAAGAACCGGCACCGATAAGAATACTGCGAAATTGAAAAGATAAAGCCGCGATCGAGTTTGACGATTTCGAGCGGCGATGCGAATGCCTTAAAATGACTTCTCTGCTCGTTCTTATCATTCTCTCTGTTCTCCTTTACTTAAACTATTTGCATATTTAACGTATAGGCGTTATCATAATATGGAACACAGATGCAAAAATTGTACTGAACATTAAAACAATTATTACATGAAATACCCTATTAATTTTGATTATTTATAGCCAGCGATGCACGATGCAAATAAATTGCAACATACATGCGTATTCAAACTCGGAGCCGAGACTTTTTTTCAGTCAAGACGGGGGGAATCGTATTTCATCGGGTTTTAGTACAACATCTGTCTTCGACGACGAATAATGCACATTGTGCATACGTAGAGGTACATAGCTACGTAAACGTGCGTAGCGTGCACAGCTATTGGAACGCGTTGACGAGGGGACCCATAACCTCGTGGTGATGCTCGTTGTTGATTACACGTTCTGTCAAACGCGTCGACGCGATGGCTCGTACCGAGCGTAAGAACCTTAATGATCCTAACGAGTACACACCCCTCCCGGGGAACCTCGGCAAATGATGTTAATCACGACAGAGGCAACGAACGGTGAAGCGTCTCGTGAACAATAGGACACCGTGATTTTCGTAACGTTACTCCCGGCTGTACCGTTTCCGATCACGTTTAGAGCTGGCGCTAATTCGTGTAAAGTCGGTCGAGAATTACTCCCTTCAATTTTCCCTCAGTTCAACAAACGATGTTAATTATAAAAATAATAAATGGTACGCGAGGTTGAGAACGCGAGACAAGAAGAAGGAGATATATTTACGTAGTGCTCGGGAGTTGCTGGAGTTGAGATTTATCGAGTTCTAAGAACAGCGTTACTAGTCCGGTTCACTTGTACGGGCAAGTAGAATTGTTCGTTTCCGATCAGACACACAGACCGATTGACCCCGAAGTACTGACGACTCCAACGAGAATAACCATAAACGGCATGCGAGTACAGTTAACAAGGTGCTTCATTGATCCCTTTATGATTTACAAGCGTGTACCAATTGGACGTTAATTAAACCGGTGTCCTCTAATAAACTAGAAACTCTGGTTACATGGTACGCGCGTTCATTGCGACCGAAACAGGAATGGAAAGCCAGCCACGATATCACAACCGTAGATAACAACAGTAAAGACATACTTGACATAATTATTATAGAATCCTAACAAATTGCTGTTCACAGCATTTGTTTTTGGTAAATTTTATATGGAAAATCGTATCGAGAAATCGAAGCTATAATAACGGCAGAGGGTCGAACAAAGCTTTCTGGAGGAAGAACCGAGGAGTCTCGGTGAACCCGCGAACCGACGGGCCAACTTTGCAAGAGGGAGGGGGAGAGGGCTCGGTATGTTAATTACAGACCAACATACACATCCCTCTCCCCCGGCGTCTGATCGTTTGGCGAGTCGGTGGTGCACACACTCTCTTTCTCCTTCTTTCTCGTCGGTTTGACTCGGTTGCTAGCCGATTCGTCTTGGAACGGCCCATCTCGGCCGGTCTCGTTGCACGCAGGCCTCGCGTGAGACCGACCAGCCGACCCTGCGACCCGAAGCCGAGAGGAAACCTTTCCTTTTGCCCTCTTTCGATATCCCCTTTACTTCCCCCCGCGTTTCTGCGCGCCTCGACCGCCTTATACTTTAACCACCAACCCCGTGACCGGCTAGCCCACGGGAAATCGACCCCCCGTTATTTGCACAACACGTTCTACCAATCTGAACGCGTTTCACGCCAAGGATTCTATGAACGCGAAGGGATAATTGAGTAGAATTGTGGGAAATTTTTGGTATTAGTCAAAGATCCTTCTGAAATCTTAAGTACCGAGCTCCTCGTAATTCATACTAAACTGCGCCGAACCGGTTAAAGTAATTAAAGCTTCGAGACTTGTAAACAAGTGGATGCATATGAAAATGTTATTATAGAAATATATTCAAGAGCCTATCACATCTAATTATTTTATATGAATGCATTTACCCCCGAAGCGTTTTCAGTCGTCCTCATTAACAAATACTCGGCTACATAATTTTAACTTGATTTGCATTAAGATACTTCTTGTTTGAAGAGTAGGAAGACGTCGCGAAGACTGGCTGACAACATTATACGTTATCAACGCGGGGAACGAAGCTGTCACGAGACCAGTCCACGTAACACGCATCGGTTTTATACGAAGGTTGGGTACCCTGGCAGAACGGAGACGACGACGACGACGACGACGACACCGCGCTTCTTCGTTTTATAGATCGCTCGATCGTGACTAAGCCAGCCGCGCGTATCCTGCACCTCCGGTATTTTCCCTCTGCTCCTCTCCCCATCGCGACTCCCGATAATTTTCCGTTTCCAACCTGTTCATCTCTATTTCTACCTTTTTCTATCGCGGCAAGCCTATTCGCCGCGTTTCACCGATCGCAAGCGTTTTACTTTTGCTTTCCGACAAGTGGTATCGCCGGCCGGGGAAAATCAAAGAGAGATCGCGTGCGTCCCGCGGTATTATGCGAGTATTTACGCGCGCTGCGTCGCCATCGATCGCGCGATCAGCAATTTTTCCCGTAATCGTAATCGTTTCGGTCAGTATCACCGCATAATGATCGTCTCCGTGAGACGTTAAAGCGTTGAAATAAACGCAGCTCCCTCCATTTGTCTTTCGTTGCGTACAGTAAAGCAGGCAGGCTATCGAAATATCAATTAATGACAAAAACTACAACTGTTTTATAGATAAGAGTCTATTGACCTCGACTCATGAAACGCTGTCATGCGAACCACGTAACAAGATCCACTCTCATAAACAAGATTCCATTATACGCGTAATGAAAAGTGGATAACTTTCCCAGTAAAGATTAAGAAAGAAGGCATTCCTTCACGCTTTGGGACATACATGTATGCATGTATAACTTGCGCTTTCGTCGAAAACGCAGCAAAGCGAAACGGATCCCGTGGTTTTAGCAGGCACGTTCAGGAGCGTTTCTCACCGGTGAACGACTTAATGTATGCAAAATACGTCTGATTACTCACCGCCAAAAGTGGGGCACGTATCCAGCCGGGCATAAATCTCGACACTGACCACAGGGTGCACCTTGGAGAACGACATTATTGTGCTGCGAGTAACTGTTCGACTGGCCGTCTTGACCGGGTGACAGCATTCTGAAACAAAGGATAATTTTTCTGAATTCTCTGTCTCCCGCAGTATGATTCATGCGAGCGAAGTGAAAAAATTGAGTTATGGCAGTTACACATCATTTTGCACGCCATTATACTTTGTCTCAACCAAAATGTGATCAGTCACGAGAACCTGTCTCCGTATTCATGTAAATCGCGTCGCACTCGCGATCTTTCATTTTTACAAAAAAGTACCACACCCAACGAACAAGTAAAAGGTTTAAACATCTGCCCATTACCATAAATTACAATAATTAACGTGAATTATAATCGAATGGCGATCAAACTTCGCCGATGCGTTATTAAATCAGACAAATGATTCGTTTAACGGTTCGACCGATCGAATCGACATACCGGGTGGCATAGTCTGAAAAAAAATCACCTAAATATCTGATCTCGTTTACACGGTCCGCTCTGCACGTTTCATAAACGTGCGCGTAGTATCCTGAAATTGTTATACTCGCTTCGGTGATCAATCTTGCTCAAATTTAAGAATACACTGTACCATCTTGTCATACTCGTTTCCCATAACTCCCTCTTGTATGGCACGCTGGCGCATTTTTCAAACGAGCAACCTGCTATTTTCTGCCGGCCCGCAACGAGCTTCGTTGCCGCGAAAATAATTAATTAAAGGCGCTATCTAATAGGGAGGGACACGAGCGATTACGCTGTGCTCGAATTAATAATGGGAGGCGGTAATTAACGAGTAAACCGATGTGTCCCGCGTTCTTCGATCACCGTCGATTAACCGACACCACGTAATTACACCTTCTATAGAAATTTTATTAAAGTGTAAAACAAAATTGTGCGAAACGCTGGCACAATTTTATTTTATATAGTCCTGAATAAGATTTAGTGAAATAAATTTATTGATTTCTGGTCGATTTAAATAAAATAGTATTGCAAATAGAATAGAATATTTCGACAAATCAAATATTTTCATTGTAATATTCTTCCATGAAATATTTCAATCTTATTTAGAAGATTGAGTCATCCCACAAGCAACGCGATTTTTGCATTTACTCCCTGACTTAAAAGCCAACATCGTGGAGGTATATGCAACAATAATATTGAAAATAAAGGAAATAAATTGGATTATTGATGACTTACTATTTAGAATAGTATTTTATCCAACTCTGCTACACACCGACCCGATATCCTTGTATTCTTTGAAACGCCCGGGGATCTCTTGTTGCTCGCCTTTTTTCGACGTGGGCATTATAAATATTTCCCCCTCTCGGAGATACGCGATCAAAAATAATGGTGCAGCTGTGCGTGCGTGGCAACGAAACAAAACCACCGTAAACGAAAGCCGATAAGTTATCCCACCGTTTAGCGTGATCGGCTATTCAAATTTTGTTTCCTTATTTTCTCATCGGTTTCGGTCACAGCCGATAAAACGAAATTGGAGATTGCAGAGGAAAGGGATTATGAAATTAACCGAAAACTTTAAAAGAACTCGTTCATTATCCGCAATGGATATACTGAGAATCAGTTCACTGCTTCATCAAGCGCAGATCCGCATTTATTCTCAAGCAACTCACACCATCAACGAATCCAATTTCGTTACTTAAAATTGAATTGTTTTCATAAAAGACAGCTGAATAAATTCTGAGATCAAGGAAGGATCGTCTGCCGAGGAGGAGTTCGAAGGAGGGTAACATCGAAGGTCGATCATAGCAGCGCACGGTAGGCATACACAGAAATTGGCATCGGAGGAAAATAAAGAACAAGGAGTTTAACCACAGCGTCATTACACGACCCCCGACGTGCAATAAGGCGATCCGAACCGGCGGGACTTTTATGAAAGACCGTGACAGGAACTACAAGGTCGCTCATGGTCTTGCGACTGTCACGTGCCACGGTCTGTAAAATCGCGAAGGACAGGGGAAAAACGATTAAGTCGTGGCGCACGGCTACTTCGCCACTCGATACAATTGCACCTTGCACGTATTACACGTGGAATTGGAGGATTAACCCATTTGCATCATCTCCTACCAGTCATAAATATTCGTATATGGCTTACATTTAATATAAATAATTATTTATTGATTTAAGAGAGAGAGAGAGAGAGAGATTAAAGAAAACTTTTTATGCACTTACCATAAAATACAATTGTAAATCATGGCTCTGTACAACTACTTGATAAAAATAGCTATAAAAATTGTGCGTATGTATATGTAAGGTAATGACGCAAACGGGTTAATGTACCGAATCATTTTCTTTGCCTGTTTACGGGATCGTATCCGCCGTATCTGTGACATTTAAACAACATACCCGGCACGACTTTCTCATTGTCGGTTCCCAGTTGCAATTAGCGTTCTAGCGGCGCGTACAATAACCTTATTACTACGTTGACCGAGATTCTGTCGCGGATCGACATTCCCATCTCCGTGTGCTTTCCCTCTGAATCTTATCGCCTAATGCGCTTCGAATATACATATAGCGTCGAATCGTCTGCATACATATGTTCCACGCTAGTGGTTCACCAAGCAAAACTACGGAACTGGAGAATACAGTTTTTTTAAATTAATGTATATTAAATCTAAACTGGCAATCCAATTACATGCAAGTTGATTCCTTACGATTATGATATAATTCTGGTATAATTGCAATAATAATAATAATAATAATAATAATAATAATATAGCCGTATCGCGAGGAAGTGTTTCGAGGTAGGCTCGCGAACGAGGCATTAGCAATTTCCAACGTCGAGTTCGCGGGACCGAATAAACGACGATAATTACTCTAAGTTGTCGTAATTGCTATCCACAGCTGGCCGAAAGGAAAGCACGGGAAAATAAGGAAAGTGGGCTACGGGTTGGCACACGGTGAGCGAAAGAAGTGGCTGCAGGTTGCTGTAATTAGTATCTTTTTGCGTCGTTAACGATTAAACGTTCGTCGCTAGCGTGCAACGGAAACGATAGGGCGAACCGAGGTATGTTAATGGATACGATAGCAAACGGTCGCGAAGAGTCCTTTACCCGTAATGCTGTATAATTCGTGAAACGACCAATTAAAATTCTCCAGAACGAACCGATGGTCCATCGTAATTCGAAACGAGGCCCAGTTCCCGCGCGAGCTAACATATGATACGTTTAGTTTAATTATTAAGGTAAACTTGACTGAATAATTAGGAAACAGGTTGCATAAGAAAGTAGTAATTGAATTTTCTATACTTCTTCTATTTATCTGATAAGTTTTCACCGTGCCTTAAAAACTTGGCTGATGGCACAGTTACCTTATTAATATTTCCGTGCAACTAACGACGACCATGATTCTAATCTTAATTAAGATCTCTGAGGTAAAATTCGTCGTATTCGAAATCGACACGCGGCTCCCATCGTGGGATTTTACGACACCAGTTGCCTTTAACCGTTAGGGACAAAATATCGAATCGAAGTGGTGTTCGGTGAACTTCCGAAACGCGAGGGCGAAGCGGTCGAACGAGGACGTAAATTTTCATTAACGAGCAACGGCTCGATCAAAGTAACTTTGTTTCGCGTTCAGTTCATTCGACGAGTATATGACGTTTAATTAACGTCAATGCTAACCAATCGAACTGGCATAACAGAGAAGAATGACACGGATCGTCACAACGTCTCTCATAATTACTGTGCAACATTTGGTACGGAATAAAAGAAGCATATTCATTCGTGTATACCCATGTATCTTGCACGATCGTCCTATTCAAAGGCAGAGAAACACAAAAGTAGCAAAACTTGTATGCGCGTAGGGGCACGGGGAGGGCGACCTCGCCTCGTTCTAACCAAACTGGAGTTTCTTCCGCGATGAAAGACACGTACACACATAGTCACCGGTTCGCCCTGGCGTACATACGTATGTATATGTATTGCACGGCAAGATCTTCGATCAAGAGCATGCGCACGTTCGTGCGCGAACCAACAGGCAACGCGATCGTACAAACGTGCAACCACCCGAGAATACGGGACGTATATACTCTTATACATATACATACCTGTTGCTTTCTCTCCGCTGCAGCCGGGATGCTGAAACCACGAAGCTCGGGATAGCTCGAGCCTGGCAAGAACTCTTCGCGATACGAATTCACCGTTCCGCGCGCGGCTGTTACCACCGGTTCGTCGCTCGTTCCCGAACAAAGGACGACGTCTTCCGCGTAGCACGTAGCCGCGGACACGCGCGAACACGTTGACCGATCTGTCCCCGGATACGTCACTCGCGATTTAACGGATACGAGGAGGATTCCTGGCTTGCTGCATCGCCGTGTCCCCGTCGCGTAATATACCGCACGTACTTTCCCGTCGAACTGGCACCACTTCACTTCAGCTGCACCTGCACTTGCACTTGCACCGCACCGAGCTACGTCGTGGCACAGGGTCGTGTGGCCCCGGCGGATCACGGGGTACCGTCGCGACGTCCTATATCGTGTCGAAAGGACCGACGACGGTGGCATCCTCGCGGCATCACCGTACGCTGCACTTCGAGTCAAGCCGAATGCTCGGCTCGCTCTTTTTTTTCTGTTTACCTATCTTTTTCTCTCTCTTCCGATATCCTTCCTTCTCTCGCACTACGTCGAGTTTCTCGTGTTTCACAGCGGCACTTGAATGTTTACATCACCACTTCGCGGACGTGTTCGGTAACTGTTCGCGGTTCAATGGTCGGAAGCCTACCGCGAGACGAACGCGTTGCGGCGGTAGCGCTAATAACAATGTCCGAAATCTCATTTCAAGGTTACTGTCTGACTGAAGTCGATCGATGATCGAATCCAATCGTGCGTTCAACGCAACTAACAACGATATTGATAATCGGTTTATTGTTGGTGTTCTTTCCGAATTCGGCTATTCGCTCGAATCGGTTGAACTATATAACGAAACGCGAATGACTTTCTCGCGAGGGTGACCGAACGGAAAACGTGTAGTACCTCGCGAAAAAGACACTTCGTGGTCGATTCTCGAATGGTACACGATTCACCTGAGTACGATGTTTCAAGGTATCCTCGCCACGGTTGTAAACTGGAAGGGTACGTACTATGCCACGGCAACACGCAGCCGAGAGACTCGAATCGGACTGGCTGTCGAGATGAGGCCCTTTTCCCCCCATCCCGGCGCACCTTCGACTAGTTGCTTCTCCGCTCGCGTCAGACCCCCACTTCCCACATGCCACCGGACATTCTCCTTCTCATCCCTCCCGCGCGGCCAGCGAGACTTCGCTTCGCATCATTGTACCTTTTCCCTTCTTTTCACCTTCCTCGATGCTCCCGTACTTGTGCTTGTGCTTCGTCCTTTCTTTCCCCGCGTGCACGAACTTAACCCGATGCTACTAATGTATGTACTCGATCGTCGTGTACGCCTCCTCCTGCCCCCACGTCCGTTCATAAACCGCGTTCGTTCCTCCGCGTTCTTTCTCGTAAGTTGTACCAGCTTCTGATAGGTGTTCAACTGACATCGCGAATGCACCGTCACTGCCAACAGGCACCCTAACGTGGACATCATCCACGTCTTATTGTACGCCCGTTCGACCCGTGAACGGTTATCTGCGATCTCCTGGAACATTTCGCTATCACGTAGTCGCGGAGCGTGCCGCGATTATTATAATGTATATCCTCGCAATTTTCGAGTCGCGCTAACGAGACCGTGTTGCCACCGTTTAGGATAATATGATCATAAATTTGCTTACCACCGTTGGCAAGCGGTGAATCGGTCGGTCTGCGGTATTCGCATTTATTTAACCGTCTTACTTTATTATCCTTTCACTGAAATTCTTCGCTCGCTGACGAAGAAAACGAAATGAAGCCGTTCCTAGTATCACATTTCTCGTAAGTATGCGCGAGTTCGTATTATGAGCTCATGATAGTCTTTTCCGGATTTCCTTTCCTTTTTCTCTTCTTGTTTATTAATACCGGATTAGTATTCCTCTTATTGCTACACTTTTTGCATCATGAGAACCTGTTCGTTGTAATATAAAACACCACAGTGTAAATAGATGAATAAGAACTATATAAATACTGTTTTACCTCTAATTGACTGTCATTTCAAAACTATGTACATATTTCTCTCGTATTAAGACACCCTGAGATTAATATTATAGGTTGTACATAAAAGTACGTTACACAGTCAAAGAATTAGGACCGGTTGATGATCATGAATTTACGTATGTACATCGGCACTACTGTGTTATTACAGAAAAAGTATAATTTACACATACCATCTTGTTCTATCATTAAAACATGAGTAGTACGTTTGCAATTTTGCACATTATTAATGAGACCAACAAGTATCCAAATACGAGTTCAGATTGAATAATAATTAAATGATAAATAATTCATTATTGTCGGGAGATTTCGTACGTGTTCGGTGGTCTTCGGCCAACCACGTGATGATTATCGGGAAATATGGCGTGAAGTTGGCACGAAGATGGTTGTCGTGAGTTACGAAAGAGTAGAGGGTTTCTCGCGGGGAAGGCGCTTCCCAATCGTCCGGAAAAAGTGTCGCACTGTTATTTTTTCCTTCGATCCAGTTAGCGTGAAACAGTGCGATGTACGACATTAAATGGATTATACCGAAGCTTCGAAATACGAGCAGCCTTTGGAACATCGCGAGCAGTATAACCTTCGCAGCAGTAGGGATTTTCTCTAAAATCATTATAGGTAAGCGGCTGCGGTGCCGGTTTTTCAAATAAAAATCAGTACTGTCCGTCCCACGACATTGATGCGTCAATTCGTCGAGAAATTCGTTCGAACACCAGGTTTAAAATGTGTTCGTCACGTGCTGTGAATCTGATCATTTTTAAAACACATTACCTATATTGACTTGGAATGTAAGTATAGACGATGTATTCTATAGTTAATTCCTACAATTCGTATTATTGTAACAGAACACGGAGGATGAGTTTCGTGTTTATAAGAAAACGCGGGAAACATTAGTCATTTATATAATAACGTGATATAGCGTGATCTTTAATCGCTGATAAACTGCGTGTCTTTATCAGATATGACCTGCCTGTAATCACATTTTTTGCTACCTACCTCAGTAAGAATAACATGTTCGCATAGATATTTCATGAGAAACTATCAATTTCTTATTTGTTCAATAACAATCTAATTATTGTATAAATAACGAATTGGCGTATAATGCTACGTATTGATGAACGATTCTATCCAATATACAAATAAAAATACCAGGTCTTTGTACAAATTTAACTTTTATCGAAGAGATTATTGGCTGGACTTCGTTTTTATTAATGAATGTAAACGGTGTACGTAAAAAGATTTGGAATGACGCAATGTTGTACATTGTTAACGTTTAAAAATGCTTGTATGGCTGATTCGTGCCTTCCAACAATTTTTTATTTTAAGTATTAGAATAGAATGTCAAATATTAATTTTTTCGGAATCTGGAATAACAATAATATCTCATGACGAACTTTTAGAAAGCGTAGACCTTTATCGATCTTAATC